CTATGATTTATACAACAAAAAATAATATTTAGAATTTATTGGACTCTATTATGTTTGTATAGAAAAGGATTGTCTAAGACAGCATTATGTTGGAGATGTAATAAGGACAATGCTTCTTTAAAACACATGTTTTTACAATGCCCTATACTTATTAAATTTTGGGAGAAAGTAGTGGACCATATAAATGTGACTGTGTGACAAAAGCTAAAATTTTCAGAGGGCAATATTCTCTTGAAATACCTACCTAGTACATGGAACTTGACAACTGGACAACACAAATAGATTCTCTATGCCCTTACTATGGCCAAAAAACTGATATTGCAACATTGGAAAGATAAATGTACGGCCCCATTTATTCAATGGATTGAAGACCTGATTGTACTTGCTACTTACGAGCGGATTGCCTATAGGCACAGACTTTGTATGGACAAGTATAATGAAAATGGGACTCATTTATACAAAATACAGTAAGTTAAAAAAAAATGATAGTCATAAAATGTATTAGAAATAAATACATACTTGAATAATATTTGCTTTAGTTAACTATATATAGAATTATAATTGTTTACTGTTACGACATAATCATACCGGTTTTTTTCATCATACTTCTTTCACTTTTTTGTAAAGCACTTTTTATGTTTTTTTCTCTTTGACAATGTATGTATCTCCATTATTATCATTGTGTTTTGCTCTTGTTCTTTTTTCTTTTGTTATTAATTAAAAAGCAATAAAATATAAATTAAAAAAAGAGTGCCAAAAATATGACACTAAAAAGCTCCTTGATGGAAACATAACAAATGTTTGGGAAAAAGAATGGAAAAGAACGTACATGTTGGAAATGGCCATGATAATTATATCATACTTCCATTTTCATTGATTTTCATGAGTAACAACAAGAAGGGGGGAAATGCCTGTTTCAACATATTCACCATTTTCTCAAATTGTCACAGTGCTATTTCTCATGAGTGCAATGTCACAAGCATTCCTAAACTACCTATGTCAAATGCCACAGCTGGCTGGATGAAATGGCAATTGTGGGCAAAGGCAGTTTAGGACAGGAGGGCAATGAAAAAAAAAGTTGTTGAATATTATGACCAATCAGAACATGTAGAGAAGAAAACCACAGTATGAAATGAGAGGGAAAAATTGTCGCCTCTCCAGTAATTTGTTGTGCTGCATTTTATGAGCTAGTTTGGAGGTGAATATTGCAACTAAGGAACAGTTAACATCATCTCACTTTTTAAATGGATCTCTTGAGTGCCTACATGGGAAAATGTTACAGAGAGTTTTATTATCCATGTAATTTTATTCCTGACAAATTTATGAACTTCATTAGACAGAAATCTAGGATCTTCCATCCACATTTTTATAGGAACAATTACAACTAGGTATTATTTCTCCATGAACTGTTTTCAGGTATTGTTTTAAAACACAGTGATGTGTACTTTGCTCCCACCTCTTTCGTTTCAATCACATCTCTCCAGGTCGATGAGGACAGTTTGAAATGAAGATTTACCTGTGCTTCACCAAGAGTGTTCTACTGCTCCATCAACTGGGAATATTGATAGTGATAAAGATAAAGTGCCTTTGAGTTGAGCTTGACTCTTGGTGACCCCAGGAACACATCCACATGGTTTTCCTGGCAACAGTACAGAAGTATTGCAAACCACTTATGAATACCACTTGTTTCCAGTGAAATGGAGCATTTTATAAAGAGAGCTCTGGAACAACTATGGGATCACCATTGTCATTGGTCTTTGTGGAAGACTTCGAGAAGGCACTTTTATAATCCAGTCATCTACCGTCATCTAAGGGTTGGCTCATATATATTGATGATACTTTCATTGTTTGGCAGTACGGAAAGGAAGAACTTGTGAAATTTCTCTATGACTTAAACAAATGACACAAGGCCACAAAATTCACCGTGCAAGTTGACAACAAGGCCAGTTTCCCATTCTTTGATGTTTTAGTGAATTGAGATAACAATGGACATCTAAACTATGAAGTATATAGAAAGAAGACCCATGCAGACTGCTACTTCAATATCACATCACTTCATTACCCTCATCAAAAAACATCAGGTTGATAAAGTGAGTGATACAACTAATAAATTAAAAAAATTAACATATGCACAATTCCCTTCTAAGTAATAGATATAGTATTACAAATGTAACTAGAGCAAGAAAAGTATCAGAGTGATCAAAGAAATATTGCGAACAATATGCAGACTGTCTATACATTCAGATGTGAATGATAGAATGAGAAAAACACTTTACAAAGAAATTAAAGTAATGTTTAGGTCAGCAGACTAGGTAAATAATTGTTGCCCTCTAATAAGGATAAACTCCCAAGAACCAATAAGGAAATATATAAAATAAATAGTGTGGGAACAAATAAAAAATTATTAGGGAGGCAATAGAGATTTACAAATATCCAAATAATTTAAATTGGGAAAAAGCTCTCAACTGTCATCTACATGGTAGATAGCAATTATTCTGGGGTATATAAGGACATGATAGCTGTTTCCAAGTTCAGGTCCAGATCTACTCTGAAGTTGCTAGTAGCATGGCCAATGAAATGTCAGCACATATTCACTACCTCACATGGCATTGCCCAGAATTAATTTCACCAATAAATAATAGCCATGAAAACTGTCTTTCTATGAATATAGAAGGAGCTTGCCACTGCCTTTTTCTGGAATGCTTTTGACTTCTCTCCCTAAAATGGGATATATTTAGCTCTCTCCAGGCAAGAGGTAATTATAATGTTCACAAATGTTGCACAGAAAATGTATTTTTTGAGCCTAACCACACCGCAATCTGTTGGCACTCTCTGGAGAGTAAATCTGGCTTGGCCGTCCTATGTGTAATTTTTAATCTGTGGGCCTGAAAGGCAGAGGAGGTACTGAGGAGTCATCCTCCCAATACCAAGGTTTTCCTCCCCATAGGAAAACAAATGGTGGAAGAGAAGCTACATGGATGTGTGTGCTTCCTTCCCTGAGGGGAAAAATCACCCTTTTAATGTAGAGCAAGTGGTGTTCTTGGCTCTTTGCAAGCAGATGTGGTTGTATCAATGCCTGAGATAACTGAAGCTGAAGCTCCAAATCAGGCATGCCGTTTTCCCCTGTGTGATAGCTATTATTCATATGTGTGCTAAAAATGAACCTGTTCGCTATGGAGATATTCTCAATTTGATTTCAGTTGTAAATCACATGTATAAGTTGGTATTATTAGTAATCATGGATGGCTTTTATATCAACATTATTTCCTGTAGATTTATCTCAGTCGAGCCACATAAGTAGACAGACTGACTTGAACTGAAAAGCAAGGTAGAATGGTTTTATAAATATATTTAAAGCTCATAAGATACTGCAGATAGTGGAATGAGGCTGAAAGTTAACAGATGCCTAGGACTACATCAGTAAGATAGTCACTTATATACTTTAAAAAACAAAACATTACACACATATGCATATGCAAAGAATGAGACAACATTGCATAACCCGCGCTTGCTAATGCAAATGTTGAACAATTCAAATAGAATTGCTATAATTTAAATGTGGAAATATAATCAGTTTCTTCACTGTGACCAAGTGACTTCTATGTGCTGCTCAGGTGTCAAATGCTGATGAGTAATTTTAAGATTCTTGGAGTTCTTTATCTTGAAATCAAACTTGGACTTCAAACAGCAACATAATCAAATAAAGAAATGTGTTTTTTTTATAAAGGGCTATGCAAAATAGTAAAGGTGGACAGCTTATCACATGGAGATTTGGTAAATTTGTTAAGATTTGAACCAATGATTTTAGTTATTTATGTAACTTGTTTATTTGCTTATACTGTAGGCTGCTCCACAACCAACTCTGAGTGGCATATAACTCCCCAAGTCCATAATTTGGGTTTAAAACAATATATAACATTCAAAATTAAAACCAAAAACATTCAGTAAATACACATACAATTATGTGTAGCAAGACATTCTAAGAAAGACCATTCAAATGACCACTCATCCAAAAGGACAGTCCGAATAGCCTGGCCTCCAAGGTTTGATAGACAAGCTTAGCTCTCATGGACTTTTTGAAGATTGGGAGAGAGGGGGGATACTATAAGAGAAGGGAGCAGCAACTGAAAAGTCATGTTTCCATGGCTTTGTAGTTGACAGTCTCTGTTTGAGGACATAAGTAAAGAGTCTGCCGTACTGCATCTTATTGGATGGGTAGATGTTACAGGGAGAAGGTGGTCCCACAGATATCCAGCCATTACTAGGCTCACAGCTCAGTGGCCATGGCAGTTCAGAACATCTCCTCTCTCAATGCAACAAATCACAATCCACTCAAAATTCAAATGACACTTCCTTTATACATAACATCTTGTATCAAAACATGTGCTCAAAAGGTAGGAAAAAATGGGCAAATAGTGTAAACAATTCAGAAATATAGAGCTTATTCTAATAGGAATTCTGATTTATTGCTGCTAAACCCGTCAGGGTGCATAAGACAAGAATAATTCTGGACTTACTGCTGTCATGCAATCCTTATGTCTGAACATCAAAGCAAGCTATACGCATTTCTGTTTTGCTCATTCACTCTTACAAGCAAGAAGAGCGAAAAAGCTGTGTTAAATAGCAGGATAATTCACACTAAGAAAGAGCAAGGCAATAACTGTAGCAAATCATTACATGCAAACAGGCGACGTGGAAAATACAAAAAGAGCTATTTTCTTCCTGAAGCCTTTTAGTCACCAAAATAATTCCACATATACACTATACTGGCACATACGCTAAACAGCTGAAAAAGCGATGTGAAACAGTTTGTTCATTCAGTTTTAGAAGCAACTTTGTAATGTTTATTATGAAAACTAAGGAGTTCATTTGGGGGAATCTAACATCCATTTCAGCAGAATGATAAAGTAAAACATGCTACAGAAGGAAAAGAAGACGAGGCACAAAATCTGGGTCCTGGATTGCCAAGACTACCATCAGCATTCTTCAAGCTGACTTACCTAACATCTGTACAGGTTATACACGAGATGTACCGACTATTTGTTGTAATGAGGTTCAGTGGCACAGATGTCTCACTGTCAGAGGTTGGGTGTGCTCCACATTTAAAGTAGAATTCCTGCAATATTGAAGAAGAGATAAAAGGAGGATTACATACCTGCACTTCATGTCCTCTCTTTATCTAAGTCTAAGTGAAGTTTGAGGGAGTAGATAAATCATTGATGTCAGTAGAAAAGAAGGATACTTATTAAGAGTAGTTTAGAAAGAACACCTCACAGTATTTTTGTACAAAATGTATACATAGGTTTTTGGATATCGGCTGAGGGGAAGAAATGCATCTACACTTCCATTTGTTCTGTACAATTATCTTTTCTTCATTAAAGGAGAAAAATGAATAGACACAGACAGAAACAGGTTCTTGGAACTTCCATATTGCACACAGGAAGCATCTGCCTGGAGTGGGGTATCTGTTAACATCCCGGTGTTCCTCAATCACAATATGGCAAAGAGAACAAAGTCAGAACCACACCTGGGTATATCCAAATCTACTGTACATTAGATAATGTTAGTCTGCAAACCTGTTGGCATTGCCAAAGGCCATGTTGGCTGGGAATCCTGCAAACTGCACCTTAACATAACTAGAGAACATCAGGCTCAGGAACATCTAGACCTTCTAGTTGAAGGCCTCTGAAGTCACTAAGAAGCTGGAAACCAAACCAAATATATTATACATTGCTCATGAAACATAATATGTAATCATTAAAATAGACATCTTTAAATTGCTGCTCTTTAACTATGTGTTGAACTGCTTAAAAAACAAACAAACACCAGCAGCAAGAGCTTATATGCAAACATAGATTGAAACACTGCATGCCAACAGGAAGAGATTTGTATGGCAGTTTTGTAATGACTGTAGCCAAGTGGGTGGAGAGAAAAAAAACATTTTTCCCCAAGACATGTTCTGAAATTCCCAAAGAAGCAATGCAACAGAAGAAAACTAACTCTGTTGAAAAGTATAACACTAGAGAGCTAAATTCAGAGTACAAAACAATCTACAGTGTTGTAAACCAACAGCTTTGACTACCTCTGGGTCTGACAAATTGTGAACCGAGAACATAAATAGTCCAGCAACAGCGGATAAGTACAAAACACATTGCATGGTGTGTTGCATTTAATAAGGAATATAATTTTCTTGATGAAAGGATTCAATTTTATTTTCTGAGTATACATTTTATAGTCCCTGTTTTGCTGGCTTATTCAAATAATGTATAATTAGTGAAGTACAGATGCAGCTGCAAGGCAAAATTAAATCCTATTAGTTTGAACCAGGTATTTTCAAAAGTTGTCAAACCTTTCAAGAGAAAGGACCTTTTTCAGTAGAACACTGGCTGGTTGTCGTTCTTGACAATCAGCTGATGCTCAAAATGCTAAGTGCATTAATGGTTATTGCAAGCCGTGGATGGGCCCGCACATTCAGATTAGGTCCACCCACAGCCTTCAGCAGGATAATTCTCTGCAAGCAGAATGGGATCAAATTTGGTACAGTGAAAGAAGCTGGCAAATGAAAGTTTTAATTGGAAAATGGGTCAGATCTAGCTAGAGGCTGTAGAGAAAAATATCCCAAAAACATTCGCCCCATGCATCCCCCTGGGAGAGGCAGCTGGGTAGTAATTCAATGGCTCCATCCTGAAACCCCCTCCTGGTCATGTGACCCAGAGCAATGTACCTAGTTCCTGTGCTTCCTAGCATAAGCTTATGCACAAACACCCAGAGACACAGCATGGGGGAAAACTACACACATAAAGATACAACACATTTCTTGGTTACCCAGAAGAAGAAAGTACAGATGCTTCCATAAAGCCACTGACAGTAAAGAGGTTGGGCAGAATTTCAAGAACAATGTTTTGCATACTTTCCGTACCTTGCTAAAATATTAATGGTATTAGGCTCTTTATTTACCTCTGTTCTCAAATAAAATTGCTGCATTAAAGAACATATTCAATGCTTAGATTATTTTAAAGGGCCTTTATTTACTTATTTCCAGTATTTCAGTACCACCAGAATTATACATCTCTAGGAAGCTCACAGATCAAATCATTAAAACAATAAAAACCATAAACATAACTCTCATAAAATATCAGTAAAATTGTGCCATTCAGATAAGAAGTAAAGGGTAGATACTAGTCTTCAAAATTCTGTCAAAAAAGCCATGTTTTAACCACTCACCAAAGGGTGATTAAAATAGGAGCTAGCCAGATTTGGGGGGAAGCATATTCTAAAGGGTTGAGGTACCAGTGGTTAGAGGTTCTTGCTCCCTTCATTTTCTGAACTGAAGGAACCTGGAACATCTGCTGTTGAGCAAAATGGACGGACTGGCCAGGGTCAACTTATAAGCTATCAAATTCATCCCTTGTCTCTCTCTAAATACCCACTATTAAGTATTTCAGTTTGAAGACTTAACATGAAACTATGGAAGTCTAATTCTTTGAAAACTGAATTTAGCAAACATTTAATTCCATATTTGAGAAAATTTGCACAGGAGATCTTTAGAATTCAGGATGGCTCCAAATCTTGTACCATGTGCAAGCATATTGGGGTTCTCTCAACTTTAAGTAGTGAACAGTCCCTGGTATGACCGTACAAGAGTTTTGAGGATAGTGTACATGTGCACACTCATGCAACACAGTTATCTCCCCATGCATGTGTTCTTTTCACCCAAACTCTTTATCTTCTACATTTCCTAAATGTTTCCTGAAACAAATGTGTAGAGAATGAGAATACCTTCTGTACTTCTGTGCAAGTTTCTGGAAAATTCAATCCTGATAGGATTCCCTGTTCATGCTAATTCAGACATCATGCCGAGCCATTATGTGGTTTATTTGTTGGGTTAGCATGAGGTGTGAGTCCTCCCATAACATTCCAACTTAACTTCTGGGCACACAATGTATCACTGTGGTTTGTTAAAAAATCATGTTTCCAAACCTCCTGGCTTTTGTTTTGTCCAGGTTTGGGTTTATTGCAGGAAGCAGTGGTTGACCTTCAGCAATTATGTAAAGCTTGGGTCTGTCCTCAGAAATAAGCATATTATTCATATACAGTACATTAACACTGGCAATGGTGATCTTGTTTTGATTACAGATCTTGTGATTATCTGAATGATGTCTGCACCTTCAATCCTGTTAGATAAGCAGGCTGCCAGGCTTCCTTTATTATATATTTCCAAGACAGATATACTGCCACCATTTCTACGATTGATAGAAATTACTGAACAACAGCCTGAACACATAACAATCAAGGCCTAAAGGATGCACTTCTAGGAAAGATCACGTTGTCTTTTCTGTGTATTGCTACTTATTATCAACACAGCAGAAGAATTTGAAAACACATTTGTCACATTTCAAATCCTGTCCTTTAAGAAATATAAAGGCTTTCATTAACTGAACATAAATTGACAACTTTGTTATTTAGAACAATAATTTTGGCTCTGAATTGGATAATCAGTGTAAGCTCCCCACCTCATGCGTTTTCAAGTCTACTGAGTTGACATTGATCTTATTTTAAAAGAAGCCAGAGAAAACTTCAAATAGAATCCAAGATTGATACAATCCTAGAAAATAAGGTATTCTCTCCAGTGTTTTCTTCTTGGTCATAATTGTCCTGTGGAGGGCAGTTATAGAGCACCAGCGAATGTTATGTATTTATTTACAAGGCTTAGAGGCCACTCCAGTCTGTCACATACAACACCCTAATTTGTAATAGGGATTAAAATCATACGTATGATCAGGAAAAAAACAGTAACGATAAACCACCAGCTGGTTTCATCCAGTCAAACACCTCTTATAAACAAATTAAAAAACATTCATCTGAAAGCAGGGTTACACATAAAACACTAACAATAACTAAAGAATCAAATCTCAGAACTGAGAGACACTTATAACAGACCAGCCTCCCTGGCTTGATAGAACACCCAGGTTTTCATTGGATTTCTAAAAGCCAGAAGGAAAGGGGGCCATACCCCAAGTTCAGAAGGATCCCGAGAATTGCAAACTGATAGTTGATCATTGTCTAATATATCTGGGTTGAGTGATAGCTTCTTGAGCAGGGGAGCACCACCACCTCTTTCAAAGAAATGGTGCTTCCTCTGTCAAGGATGCATTTACCACCATTCTGACTCAGCTCCTCATCACATCCCTGGAGGTTTTCACCAGTCAGGAGTCCAGACTATCACCAAAGGCTGGGCTGATACTGCAGAGGACCCTGTCCATACCTCAGGGCTTACAAGCTAAGTAAGGCCTCAAGTCATCTCCTCTGGATCTGCCCAGCTGATGTTAAACTCCAAGCGAATCCAAATGACTTTGTCCTGCAGATGCTTAGAAAATACCTTACAGCTGCTCCTTAGATGTCCTTTTTGCCCGTCCTTACCCAGTAAAAAAATGTATCACTTACAGAAGGGCTACTGGGAGGCAATCTGTGGATGCAGTAAGAGCAGAGAAGTATTGACATTTCACTACTCTTATTCCCTCTGGGTAGGTCTGGATTATGGTCCAATATGCTTTAATGGGGAATGGGAGCTGGGTATTGTGTTGTACAGGCAAATATAGAAAAAGGGAAGTCATTATGCTTCTGGGACAGGCAAGAAGCAAAGCAAATCAGAATAAACTTTCTGTCTAAGAAACTGGAAGGAATAGCAACCACATACGTTAACACTGAACTGAGAAGATTTGGGCTCCCACTATGCAATTCTACAGGTGGAAAAATGCCTGGAGGCAGTAGCATAAAAACAAAACATATCACCTTTGACTGCTACTTTTTTCACCTCTTTTCACCTTTAATGCAGCAGCAAAAATGTTCTCCAACTTTCCAAGCAGAAGGGAGCACTGGCAGCTGTTTGATTTCAGGAGCCTTGCCTCCTCTTTCTGACTGCTTGCCATTTCGGAGTTAGGCACACTCCTAATCCTTACAGTTTTCCTTCATTCTAAACATGATAGACTGTTAGGCACCTGCTATGTAGCATGTATGACCACTGGTCCACATACCTACTGTGGTTTACACTGACCAAAGGCAGTTTTTCAAGGATTCAGACAAAAGTCTTTCCTAGAACTGCCTGGAGATGCTAGG